TCAGCATCATACGATGATGCAAGACAACTGGCATCAGTACATTGAACGTATGTGTATGCGAGTTGGAATTCTAAATAATATATATGCTTGAAAGGATTCTGAAAGAAACACCTACCTTGACTCTTCTCAGCTCTTGAATAAACTTAACTCAATGTAAAGAAATGAAACACATGGTATGTATGAAAAGCTTTATAAAACAGTAAAAACAACTTAGTCTGTTGGGGAAATTGCAACAAGAAACTCAACTTTACTCAAATACAAAGTAATTTAGTTTTTGTGGAGATTCTCGAATTGAAAACTACCACGATGAGTCTAAGTGGTGATATAACGCTTTGCCTAAGCTGCAAGAACTCTCATATACTTAGCGTCATATAGAAAGTTTAGCTTAGTTGATCCACTAATTTATGCTAATATCATCTTAAGGAGTCATTAAAAAAGTATGATCCTTTACTACCCATGATGGATACATAGTTTATGGAAACTTGAGTTAATATGAACTCTCACGTCCCCATATTGGTGCTCAATACTACTCACAAAATATAATTAGCTCATATGTTTTAATGACAATCTTATTTCTTTGGTTTGAGATAGTTACTCAATATTTATCTTAAAAGCTTTCTTGGAAACAATGTTTCCTTTTCTTGCTCAAATGTGAAAACATTTATAAACTCTTTGGGAATAGTTCCTTTATAGATTTTCGAGGAATGAACTCAACTCTTTATTCTTTTCTTAACTTGAAACTTTAGTCTTAAATCAAGGTTGAAACGTTTGTTAAAGACTTTTGAAAACTTTATAAACTTTTTTTAACTTGATCTTGAGTTCTAGACTTAGCTCTTGACTTTGATCTTAACTTTTGTTGAATTGGGTTATGGATTCAAGGTCCATGATCTCATGTTTATAGATTATTTCATGATGTTTGGATGTACCTTAGAGTGTTGGAATCAACTAGAAAACATAGGTACATTGATAAGCAGTAAGTACTAAAAGGTGGGGAAGATGGGACTGGCGTCCTTGGCACATTAAGAGGTGCGGGGCGCCAACCCATGAAGTTCAAAGATTGTCCTGGGGCGCACTGGATGGTGCGCCGCCCTAAGGGTTAAATATCAAAAACCTTTTTGGGGCACGCTTGCTGGCGCAACGCCCTAACTCTTTACCCAGGTGTTCTCGACTTTTCTTGCTCGTTTATTATCTCTAAACCCTCTAAACTTAAACGGTTCTTTCCAGAAACACTTAGAATAATTTATACCCTTAATATAAGATATATTCAACCTGAAATTACACCCAGAAACATGAATCACACCTCAAGAAACTTCAATAACACAATCCAAAAGAACTAAAATGAATATTATCAAGAACTCAAAAGATTTTCTTTCAAATCAAGCATATCTCGCTAAATCGAATCATGATTAGCGCGTGGGTGAACTAACACAACTCTATTTGATATCATATACCTTGTAGGAATCACCCCGATGAAATCAACAAGCAAATCGCGACGATCTTGACGAATCTTGAACATTCTTCTCCTTCCTCCTTTTTTCTCATCTTCTTTTCTCTTCTCTTAAAACCCTAACTCTTACGGTAAAAATGTAAAATAATTTAATTTAGCTTAGTCCCCTAATTAATCACCAAAAATGGATTAAAATAAAAGGTAAGGAAAAGACCAAACTACCCCTTCAAAATCCGGATTAAACTTTCCTTATTTCAACAGCCCAACTTACGAAGGGCATAACTCACTCATACAAACTCAGCAGCATTGGAAAGATTATTCCAAGTGGTTTGGAACCATATCTAGAAGTACACTTAACTCATCTTCATCTAGAAGCTATGGCCATTTGAAGTTGATGATAAACTCACTTTTTCCTAACTTGAACAAATTTCCAGATTTTCATTATTTCCAAATATGACGATTCCCATTTCTAAGTTTCTTCCTAGTTATTTCAAAATGAGAGATGTTACACAACTCATTGATAACCGACTAAGCGCATTCGTAACTATATTTACCTTGTTGGTGTGATACAGGACACTCATGTCATAATCCTTCAGTAACTCAAGACACCTTCTTTGGAGAAGACTTAGATCTTTATGCTTAAACACATGTTGCAACCTATTGTGGTCAGTAAAAACATCATCATGAACACCATATAATTAATGCCTCCAAATATTTAAGGCAAAAACAACTACCATTAGTTTCAAATCATGGTAGGATAGTTATTATCATGAACCTTAATTTTCCGTTAAGCAGAAGCAATAACTTATCTATTTTACATAAGAACATATACACCCTAGCTCAAATCTTGAAGCATCACTATAAACCACAAATCCATCGGATCCTTTCGGCAAAGTCAACAATGAAGAAGAGGTAAGTCTATCTTTCAATTCTTGAAAACTCCTCTCACACGCGTCAGATCATATGAACAAAACCTTTTTTTGGATTAATGTTGTTAATGGAGAGACAATTGGATAAAACCATTCAAACTTCCTTCTATAATATCCAACAAAACCAATGAAACTTCAATATCCAAAGGGGATAGAGGTCTAGGAAAACTCTTAACCGCATTCGTTTTGTTAGGATGCACCTTAATACCCTTACGACAAATAATGTCACTAAGAAAAGCCATAGATAATTAACCAAAATTCACATTTACTAAACTTTTCAAAGAGATTTTGGTCCTTGAAACTTGAAATACAATCCTCAAATGATCGATATGTTCATCCTCACTCCTTGAGTAAATAGAGATATCATTGATGAACACACTAACAAACATGTGAAGGTATTGTCTAAACACCCTATTAAGCCAATCCATAAAGGCGACCATAAATTAGTATAACCAAAGGACATAACCAAAAACTCATAATTATCATATTGAGTTCGAAAATCCGTCTTTAATATCATTTTCATTTACCCTAACTTGGTGATAATTGACTAGACTTCAATCTTAGAGAAGTAACTTGCTCTTTGTAGTTGATAAATAAAATAATCTATAATTGAAAGAGGATGTTTATTCTTAATGGTAACCTTAATTAATCACCAATAGTCAATACATATACGAAGTGGACTATGTTTCTTTCAAACAAACAAAACTATAGCACCCTATGTAGAGATATATGATTTGGAGGTAAGAGTGAGCTTATCACGTTATGGATCATATTTGTACATGTCTCATTGTCTATTAATTAACTAGTCTTTTGTATTTTGAGACAAGTCTGTATATATTGTTCCACCTTTTGGACTTATACTTTTTTGTAGCATCTCTTTCTCTCTCTCTCTCTCTCTCTCTATATATATATATATATATATATATATATATATATATATATATGTATGTATATATATATATATATTACGCATTATTCCTCTGTTATTTAAGCTAAGTTGGTTATTCTTATGTTGTTTCTACCGTTACACCCATCAAAAGGCCCGACTCAACAAGATTGGAGGCCTAGAAAGCCAAACCTTAAAGTCATAATGTATAACTTTATTTAAATTATACTTTTATAGACTTTTTAGATGTGAATCCATTAAGGTTCACACTTCACTTCATCGTCAATCCATTAAAGCTAAATAAGAATTATGATATCACTTCATCGTCAATCCATTAAAGCTAAATAAGAATTATGATATCATAAAATGCACAACATATTTATCCACTTCATTCTATGAATTTTTTATTTTTATACTATTATAATTAAGAGATTTAAGGGTTCACACTTCACATCATCCTCGTTCCTTTTGTCATCTTATTTTTAAAAATTCTATATTGTTGTATGTTTTTAGTCCGTCCTTGTTACTCTCAATTTACCTATTTATAATATGTTTGTTAATATTTTTAGCCTCTTGTGAATATTCATAACTTTTAAGAATTTTAACCATTTCATTGTTTAATAATTCATGTGTTTTGTTAAACTTGTATTATCATTTCAGTATTTCATGATAATACATCCAAGAGTAGTCCAAATATGAATTGTTTCCTACAAAAAGAACATTTTTATTTGTCAACGATCAAATAAACGGAATTATATATCACAAGAACTAAAGTCTAAATTTGTCACTAACTCAAATACCAAACACATAATATTATCCTTTGTAATTAAGTTTTGAATAATTGTGTTTTGGTCACAATAGAGATTCACATTACTGGTTACTCGCCCCATTATACTTTGGGTGTGAACTGCATAGTTTTTGTGGAATAACTCACAAATCAAATAGAAAATATAAATTGTATTAGGCAAATCTGATGCCGAACATGGAGATGTTGCCAACTAAAATTGGTACGTGGTCTATTACTCGCTATATTAACTCATTCACCTTTAATAACAAAGTTAGAAAAATTCGAACACCCCTTATAATTAAGTTGAGTAGAGTGTATTTTCCCGAAATAATTTCGTTGTTAATGTACTCCCTCTAGGTTGTTAACAAACCCTTTAACTTTCTGATCAACGGTCTCTAATCATCTCATTCTTTTTCTTGAAAATCTAAAGTAAGGGGCCCATTGGGATGTCCATAATTGAAGTATTTTCTTCACCGTCCGTTGATTTTCTTACTCAAAGTAATTTAAAATTCAGACGAAGAATATCGACATTCAAACTAATAAGGATATCACTAAAGTATATGAATTAGAACTAAAGAGCATAGCTAATTAAGCATGTCCAACAACAAAGAAAAAATATACACTAATTAAATTAAAGCGAAAGAAAATTATTATATTTTCAAAAAATACCCATGCATGTCAATTCTTTTATAATAAGAGAAATTACACATAATATTATTTCTGGTACAATTTATGTTACATCCAAATTTTGAAATTCAAATTTCTATATTTTTAGTGTAAATTTGTGTGACACATTTGTGTAAATTCACAATTTATATCAACCTACTTCGTTCTATGATTCTAATGTGTCACAAATGCATACTTTATTTCAAAAAAAACTTTTGGGGTTTTATTAAAATGAAACTCAAAGGCATTGCACTACTCATTTTGGCCTATTTCCCAAATCAATTAACAAACAGATCAAATAAAAGAGTAGCCCATTCAGATAGCCCGATAGAAACATCCAATAACATCTCCTTAATGCTAGGGTTCCTAGTTCCTAATGCGCCTCTCTCTTTGAGCATAACTCCACTCCAACCTGAAAAATATTTCCACTTTGGATCAACAAGAAGTTCCACCTCCTCAAGCTATGGACTATCACCATTCAAGGTCATGTGTTCATGTCTTTGTTTTTTCAGCTAACAAGAGTAGTGTAGTTAATCAAATTGACTTCTTTATGTTCTTGATTCTAGTTTAAATTTCCTCTCTTTATCTTGCATTTGTTTTCTCTGACACTCTGATTAACCAGGTTCATTTGCACCTTTGTTCTCTTACTTTTCTCTCATGTGATTCTGCTACTTCTGTTTCTACAAATAGAGTTTAATCAGAGTGTATGGGTAGCTCTAATTAACCTCCTCAAACGAGTGGTGAAGGTTCCTTATAGGTTTAAGCATTCCCATATGACCCAGATCCTCACTTTTGTTGTGTTTTTTTTTGTTTGCTGAAATTGTCAATGCTAGATAGTTCTTACGTTTTGTTATCCTCGTGGTGTTTTATAAATGAATTTTATGAAAAAAATTATGTTTTCGCCTTATAATTCTCATTATCTTCTTGTCGGTGATACTCTCAATCATGGGCTATTTAATTTATCACTGTTTATAATCCTTCTCCCTGTAGTATCCATGCTGTTGAAATTTTAAAATGTGCAACTTCCTTTTTCAATAGCCATGTTTGCTACATATTTAGCTAATTTCTTATATTCCCTCATTATTTGTTGGATAATGTATTGTTTTCCATAAAGACTTTGTTTAATCTCTTCTACTATGTCTCCTGTGGCACACACTTTACACAAATTTTTTATTTTTCCTCTTTTTTTTGTTTTTCTCTCATATAAAAAAGGCTCATAAAAACTTACATTTCTTTCATTTTGTTTCTATATCTCATTCTACATATAATTCAGTCTATTTTCAATTTATTCGAACCCATCATTCTATATTATTCTGTTTTCTAGCTTCTTGAATCAAAGCTTTTGACTCTTGATCTTCTGGAAGAAAAAAGTTTCTCTATTCAGGTTAGTGTTTGTAAATGAAGTTCAGTCTTGTTGTTATTGTGAAGATGTCTTTATGATACATATATGTTTGTGCATTTTAATTGATAATGAAAAGTTTGTATTTTGACTCACGAGTGCACGTTAGATTCAGGGGATGACTTCTTCAAAGTGGAGGACTAGAAAATAATCATTAAAGTATATGTTAAATATAGTTGAAAACAGAAATAAATTTAGTTTAAGTGGTAATTCTATGAACGTTAGTTATGGAAGGAAAAGAAAAAATATTGATCCTTCTGGAGGTGACGAGTGAAATGTGAAAAATTATGGGAGCAGGAAGTCAAATCCAACAATTTGTGAGTGCTTCACAAATAATCCTTTCATCGAGGAAGCATATGATGATGATGATTTTTCGGAGGAGGATATTGATCCTAATGTTGTTATCCTAGATAAGTATAGTGATCCGAGTGTCTTTATCGTTGTGGAGGAGGAGAAGGAGGAGAAGAGAAGAGTGATCCTAATGTTTTTATCTTTGCGAAGGCTGATACTATGTTAAATTCAACATATGTGGTTTTTTCTTGTACCATAAGCATGTATAGGATAACAGACATCCACATCTCCTGATACAACCTCATATTCTTAGCAAAGTTTTGATATTTGAACTAATGATCTTCAAAATAATTAGATGAAGGTTATTGAAGAGTTTGGGTTTTTGAAGTTAATTGTTAATTCAATAAATATATTGATGTTCATAATAAACAAACTTCTCCTGAAGAGAAGGAAAAAGTTTCGGTCAGAGGAACACTTCCTTTAACATTCTGATTTGACGATGAGGAACTTCTTGCCCCAAAGAAAGAAGAATGGGAAAATAAAATTGAAGATATTTTTGTTGAAATTGACATATGTCTTGGAATGACTTATTGACTTTAAGAAAAAATTGATTTCGTCGATGCAGAGTGAACAAGCAAGTTACAGTTAGCTGGGAAACCACCTTCTTGTTCTAGATGAACAAATTGGAATCACCTATTCAGCTAGTTCATATGTTCATTTGTAGAGCAAGTACATCTTCTCTCCTTTTGTAAGTATATGAGTTTTTTTCCTATAAAGCATTTTTCTTTCCAAATATTTTGTAAATTCTACTCTCCAATTTTTTTGGTAGTTCACACTTAAATCAAACATCTAACTTTTGTTCCATCTGCAGTCTCAAAGAACTCGAGGAAGGTACAAAAGAAAATATTTTGGAGAGATGCCATCACTATAGGATATTGATGGCTTCATAGTTTCATATTCTTCTGCAGCTCAGGAATCTCCTATTTATGGAGAAAAAACCATGTGGGATTTAGTTACCCAAAGTTCCAAAGCAACAAAGTATGCTAATCAACGTGAAGAATTTGAGTTCACGTGGAACCCTATTGTTGGATATATAGATCTTGTGAAGCTTAGATTGCCCCAATTTTAGGGTAAGGGGGATGCATTATCTAACTCCAACCTGGCATCAGAAGAATTTGACTCACCGCAGTCTTTCTTTAGTTATATCTGAAGTTGTTCCTATAGTGTCGGCATGTAATTATATAGCTTGTTTCAATTTTCTTTTTACCTAGGAAGAGGAGTTTGAGAAATGGGAGGTGTACATCATTCTTCTATGTATATTGAAATGTGAACCTTTAATTTCTGGAACTTGACTTCCAAGTTAAGAAGCGAATTGGATGGAGCTATGATTACAAGCAGATACTTTGGAAACATCTTCAATAAATACTTAAGAAATAATATGGTGGCATCGGGATTTTGTTGTGCCACGTGGTGTGAGATTATGCATCCTACCATATCAACTTATAAGAGATATTTGATCCTCTAAGGAGTTAGATCTCTAATAAATCTTTTTCAAATGAACTTAAATCCTTCACGTTGATGAGGATACATTGTCTCGTTGACATGTGGGGAAACTAAATCACACATAATTCTTTCTCCATAAATAGGATAATTTTGGCTTGAAGAAGAATCAGAAGTGGTGAGGCTGACAATATCTAAGAGTTATGTCGGTTATCTGAGATATATTCTTCCATGCCTTTGTCGAGATCTGTTACCTTGTAAATAACACATACGTTCAAGATTTAAGGGTAAATAAAAAATAAACTGAAGAGCTTGTCCGTTTAATTTTGCATGGCGAAGCTACGGAAAAGCTACAATAAATTTAGATTTAGTAGAACAGCAAAAAATAAAATAAAGAAAGAGTACTTGAAAGAACAATATTCATATGCTTACAAAATAGGGAAGATGGACTTGACCTCTAATATCACATGTGAACAAATTGAACACATGAGTCCAATTTGTTCATCCAAATCAAGTTGGTAATTCCCTATTTGACAGTCACTTACTTTTTCACTTTGCATAGGCAAAATAGGTGAATTTGTAAAGCCAATTTGTACTTCCAAGATATGCATGTTCATATCAACACAAAGATTGTCAATTTCCTTTTCCCGTTCTTCTTTTTCCGGAGGTAAAAGTTACTCTTCTTCAAACATGAATACAATAAGAAGTGATTTTGTAACAAGAACCTACATGTTTGTGGACTGCACTTCTTCCATGTTTCACCTCTAAAAGGATCCATTATCCTTCTTTTGCTTCCAATATAAAAATCATCTCCAATACGCAGATTTGTAGGATAATCAAAATTTTAAAGAATATTCTTCACATCAATTGCATAGTCCTCTCAAATTGATTGTCATCACTTAGAAGAATCGAGGCCTTCTTGTGCTTTTCACCCTAAACAACAAGGGGAGGACTCCCCAATTGGAGATCCACAATGACAGGACATTTCGTCTGAGTCTCATTGTCCACCCAAGTTACACACCCACCTTTACTAGTTGTAAATTCTCCTTTGTTAGACTCAGGACTATTACATTATGGACACAAGCTTCTAAAAGTAGGGGAATCCTTTGAGTCCTTAAGTATGAACCTGAGTCAAATTGCACAATCATTACATACTAAAAAATCAATCAGAAAATAATTTAGTTTCTTTTAGAGGACAACTATTCTTAGTAAGGGCTAAAAGTCTTTCGAGAAAGAGGAAGTAGTACTAAAAGAACAGTGTGAAACACTACTATGATCAAAATGACATAATTCAAAACTTAATTACAAAGGATAATAGCATGTGTAATATTGATTTTATTGATAAATTTTAATTTTGGTACTTGTGAATTATGTAACTAAGGCAAATAAATCGAAACAATAATGTAACTTTTAGTTATTTATATACACATTAAAGTTTATTCAAGTAACCAACTAACATTTTAATTAATAATTTTATTTTATAATATAAAATATATTATTGTGTCATTACATTGGTAATCAAAATTGACACATTAATTATGATGTAGGGTGTGTTTCTAAGGAAGGAAAACGTGCTCCATGTAATTTTTTTTGAGAATATAAATGAGTTTCTTATTTAATTTCTCGTGTTAATAAAAATACATGATTTTGTTCATTAATATACACAATTGTGTTATTTTTCATTTGGATTAGGTCATGAGGGGTAGAAAAATGGGTGACATAAATTATTTAGTCACTTAACATTTTAAAATTTAAAAAATAATTTTCTTATATTTATTTTAATTTAGTAAACTAGATTAGCTAATGAATATGGTAAGTATGAACCATTGGTTAGACAACAGGATATATACACACCATTTTTTGTGATCCACACCATTTTTTGTGATCCGCTATACATCACATAGTTTAGGGCGAGTATAGGCTTAGAACTAGAAAAAATAAATGTATATACATAAACAACGTACCTCAATTAGTAGGATTGGTTATTGCCTTCTTGATCCAAATCTCTTTTAAAGTTAAACACTAATAGGCCAACTCCAAGTCTTCCTATCTCTATTACAACAATATATGTTTTTACACCATTTGACACAAGTTGAAGGCTTAGTGTATTAATTAAGGCGGTGCAATTTTTTTTGAGGTGGTGAGTTCTTCCCCGACTTGTAACTTAACAATATATTTTTGCTACAAACATTTTTTTTCATTTTTAAATGACACACACTTTCCTTATAATTAGACATCTTTACAAGTAATAACGTAATTACCTTTTGTTTTTATTTGAAAAGGTTTATTTTGTTGCAATTTCATATGTTCACTTCTTTATATTTTTCGTTTCTTAATGAATTTTTTTCTCCGTCACTATTATTTCGTATGTCAAGAAGGGTGAATATTCGAATATTTGAAAATAAGCAAAGGAACTTTGCAGCTAATGCGAAGCAATTTTGTTCAGGTGATACATGGTTGAGGTATTAGTACTTACCAAGAGTAGTATTTTAGCATGATAGTTTTCCTGTACGTTTATAAGGAGAAAATCTTCTTCATTCTAAAGTAATCGAAATCATGGTTTTTCCCTTGTTCATATGGTATCAACTCTGAGTTTTTTCCATCTTTCTTCTTTTCCCTCTCCTCCTACTTGCACGTTTTTCTTTCCAGTCCATTCGAATGGTTTACATAATCAACGCATGATAATGAAACTTGATTCAAAGAACTATTTTTGTTTTGGGCCTCATATTTTCGATATTTTTCTTGAGGGAAAACATCTTTTGGTTCATGTTACCTTTCCAAAACCAGAAACAACAACCGACAATTGAGTAATCATGGGTTGAATATGGTTTGAGAAAAAATGGTTTGGATTACTATCCATCCGAATAGAATATGCAAAAATGGATATGGTCAAATATGGTCTAGGCAAAATTGTTCTAACCCATTTAAACAAAATTATTTTTCAAAAACATAAATGTACCCCTCCCTCATATCCCCCGCCCCCCACATTTCAACAACCTATCCCTTAAAAAAGTTTATTTTTCAAAAACAAAAAAAATCTATTTTTTCAAAAAGATATTTTTTTTTGCCCTCTCCCCCGGGCACCCCCTGCCCCCCCCCCACCTTCTACCAACCTACCACTAATTTTTTTTTTCAAAAACAAAAAAATCGGTTTTTGCAAAAATAAAACAAAATTGCCCCCTCCCTTTGCGCCCACCCCTACCTTCCACCAACCTATCCCTAAATTTTTTTAATTTTCAAAAACTAAAACTAAAAATTTGTTTTGCAAAAATAAAAAAAATTTACCCATCCCCTGGCCATTCCCCCGCCCCCACCCCACCTTCCCACCAACCTACCCCTAATTTTTTTTATTTTTCAAAAACAAAAACAAAATGTTTTTGCAAGAAAAAATAGTTTTTACCCCCTCCCCCTACCTTCCACCAACCCACCCCTAATTTTTTCTTATTTTTTTTTAAAAAAGAAAAACTATTTTTTCAAAAAAAAAAATTACCCCCACCCCCACCCCCTCTCCATCCTTCCACCAACCTACTCCTAATTTTTTTGGTTATTCATTCAAATACAAAAAAAAAATATCTGTTTTTCAATTAAGTTTGAAAGTAAAAGTGAAAATAAGTTATCTAATACGGATCAAATAGATACCCATATTTAACTAATACTGACCATATTTATAGACTCTTAAAATAGTTTGAAACCCATATATAACCAATTAAAATATGAGTGGTCCAAACAATTAAATATGGACAAAATGAACTCATTTTATTAATATGGACTGAAATTGTCACCCCTAATCTGACGCAAAGGTACTTACCTAAATCATGAAGTCTGCCGACAACACCATTGCTCTGAATCTCACTCCTATGTCACGACCGGAATCTAGACCCCAGACGAGACCGGCGTCGTTGACCTCTCAGAGGTCGCAAACAAGCCTACTTACGTCATTCTTACTTTACATAGATTAATTTTAGCAGAAAATTTGAAACTTTTGATTCTTTAATCATACTTGCAGAACATTCTTAACATTTCGTAATCGTTCATCATCGACCATCTAACATTTAAGAGATAAGCAACTGAAAGAAATAATTCATTAAGTATTAATTGTATATAGGCCAAAATAGCACCAATACAAAGTCTGAACCAAAACAGGAAAGAAACGCTAGTGGAACATGCTCCACTAGCTCAACTCTAAAACTACGCTAGAATGTAAAACAGTAGCATCCTCGAAAGCATGAGGACCTACCAAACTCCGGATGAATACTGACGTCCGGATAGCTGCAACAACGAACCTGTAGCTCTAGCGTCCACCTGTGCCTGCACCTAAAAGTAGATGTTCGTATGGAATTAGTACACACTTGTACTAAGTATGGGTATATGCAAGTACACACCAGGGACATGCATGAGAAAGAATAGCTCTTTCCTAACAACATGATTTTTGGAAGTCAAGTCAGTGGACTTGCCAAATTGAGATTGGGAAAGTTATGCCATGAGAGTGACATGCATCATTATAATTATCGTATGGCACACAAAACATAACATATTCATATAGCACATAACATATAACACATACTTTCTTTCATATTATTCATTCGTATACCATGAGACCTTATTATCATAGACTTAACTTTAAGACTTTCCAAAATGAGGGCTCAACATATGGGACCTCAACTAGGGAGCCTTCTTTAGCAAACACAGAGTCTGCTTCATTCATTCATTCGTATTTCATTTCAATTCATTCATCAGCCAGTGCGAACACCAGCTATACCTAGGATGTAGTTTAAGATTTTCATCGGGTTTGCTGTGCAATGATCAGGAATGACCTAATGTCATTACCTGAATCTAGCTCACCTCTTGATTATCCTATCCTAACACCTTCGATATCATTCATTTCTTTATATGATTCAT